GACCTATGAAGTTACATTAAGCATACTTAATTTTTAAAATATGTCTGAAGATTGTATTTCGATATATCAATATTGATTACATCTGGTGAGTATAAACTCGAATAAACTTATAACTGCAGTTGGCTATATCAATATTGAGACCAGGTACAGTTTCGACCGGGATATTCTAGTCGAAGTCGAAAACAGCTGTGTAGAACCCTTGGAGATTCTTTGCGAAGACATTTTGGAAACGCTTCCAATTAGGAGAGAACTGGTGTCCGAGTTTATAGCGGCTGCTTATAATCAATATACTAATTTTGTTTTGCAGAAACGGCTGTTATTGGGCCACCTTTAGTAAGTCTAGGGTAGTGGCAAAGCTGTCGTGCATGAGAATCAATCTAGAAACGCAGCCGATTGTTATCAGTTTCTTATTCGAAATTCGTTTTATGTAGGGCCGGAAATTGCTTCCTGTCCGCTAATAGCCTTTTACCTCCACAGCGGCATTTTCAGTCAAAACGTACCCATATTGTTTTTGATTGTGCTTTTGATTATACGTATCCTAACCTTCCTTGTCAACAGGGTGGTTCCGGCGTCCCTTTCGCCGTAAAACTTCCTGCAAACGTTGTCCGATATGGGCGGTGGATAATTATTTAACTTATTTTTCTGTGTTAGCTGAGGATAAGTGTATACTTTGTACCTGGAAAGGCAACAGTCTCTCGAGTAGGATGCCACCCACGACTACACGTCACGATCCTTAGTCATGGGAGGATAGAGATAGCATCAGAACCACTCCAGTCGTGATGTTCTTTCTTTGCCGAAAAAGCATGGTCTAGGATGTAAGTGAAAATTAACCTTATTCAGAATTTCCATCCGAGGCGCACCAAAAGCTCGCTTTGCTCGTATCTTCAAAATACTGCGTCATTAGATGATGTAGTCGATGAAAGCTGAGCAAACGCACTGCTGAATTGGTTTAAGGAAGCTGCCGGCTTCTTAAAAAAAGTCAGTAGTCGATTATATTATTGGCATGCAGGCGGTTCCTCCTACCACGTCGCGGCATAACTGATGTTTGCCCCGGTAACTATAATCTCGAATTTCTCAACTCATAATCCTAGGATGCGTCTGATGTTAAGTAGTACTTGGAATGCCTGTGTCCGTGCCGAACCTGACCGACCGAGATGGTTTCGCAGTTTACCTCTCCATGTCCGTCTGCAGAACTTGGCCTACTCTCATCCAACTGCGAAGACGGAACACAAGGATTTAACTTTCCGTCTCCTGATGGCCTGTGTTGAGTCAAGGTTTTCAGCCTTTGGGGTTGCACCATGTCAAGCCGAGCTTATCAACAATAAACTCTTATTTTGGACGGCAAATAACCTGTTGAATTACCTTAATCGTCAATCGTAGGCAGCCTACGAAGAATTTGACGTGCTCCAGTCGAAAGAAGCTTTTCAGACTGTGATGTTCACGGGCCTCCAGTTTTGTATCTCTTCTGTGTGCGCAACCTGGCATTTAAAACCATAAGCTGGTCTAGCCCGACGGATATCTAGTACATCAGAATCTTCTTTGCGAGGATATAGTCGTGTTTGGTCTTTCGATCCTTGTTAGTGATTTTGAAAACGCTGCAGAAAGCTTCAATTTATGTGAAGGTGCTAGCTCAAGTTTTTTGATCGAAAGGTTCGTCTTGAAGTTTCTAAATTTGTATGGTTTCCTTGAAGCGTGATTTAACCTACTCAGAAGCGTGGATCGAAAGAAATTTGATCAGCCCGTCAGTGACTGATAGGCTGACCGATATACTGTCTTCATGCACCGACGACTTCTCAATGGAAAACGTTTCACTTGTTACAAGCATAGCGATGTCTTTAGCGTAGTCACTGTCAGTTGTACCACTCCCAGGTACAATGTTGATACTGCCAGAAGCCCGTAGAGCCATTGCGGGAATCCATTTCTTGTCAACAACGATGACACTATGCCATGCCCAATATCTGTATTTCAAATTTGCGCAAGACCGAAGTGCTAGCGTCCTCTGACAGTAGCCGTCACTTCTTATGTACCAAAAGAGATATTTGGGCCGCTGTAATAGAAGATAACGTGAGATTCGACCTTCAGGATATCGATTTTCCAAGAGTTTTTTGGGTTCCATGTAAGCTGTTCCGGTGTTGTTTTATAGTAGCTTGTGCCTATATTTCAGTAAGTTTGACATATGAAATCTGTCCCACAAGGCTGCACCTTTGCTGTTTGTCTACTTTCTTCAGTATTGGAAGCCAGATGAGATTTTAATTCCACGACAGTTCGTCCGTCGCAATCGATGACGCCCATTGTTTGTCCTGCAGAGTAGGCGCAGGGGTGACTCTCTATTAAATAAATTCATATTGAGGCAAACTTTTGCGACATCCACCGATCTCTCACTGTCTTCTCCGATTGAAATACAAAGTCAAGACGATCGTAGGTGGGCGTGCGTGCCGTGGTGCGCCGAGCTAAACAGACCGTATTCGGAGGGCACGGGTAAATGAGCTCGGTACATCGGTTGGCTAGTCCGAAAATATTGGGAAGATAAATTTATTCTCGAGCTGGATCGTTGACCAAATGAAGGCACCCTGGAAATTAACGGCCGTTAACCTGAAGAAGTAGACAGCTGTAAATATCTCCGGGCGAGGCTGCTACTGAATGCAAAGAATAAAAACGTCACTGTCTTCCAAATCAATGCTGCTCGCC